TGTAGAAAATTTAAAATCTAAAGTCATTAGCTTATTTAGAATAGTAAATTATTCTGGAGGAGAATTGTCGCTTTCAGTAAATGTTTTGCAGCTTCCTTTCATACAAGCAGCATTATAATGTTAGACCCAAAGGAAAATTAGACAAAAATACTAAATTATATCCCTTGGTATTATTATTTTAGTAAATAATTATTAAAATAATTTATATATATTACTTTAATAAATAATGAGCGCGTAAAACAACTCCTAGAAGCAATAGCATTTTTAAATTAAAAATATAGTATGTATATTTTAGATGCAGAGCTAAAATCTATTCAGTATTACACTCGATTTGTACAACACGTATGAGTTATTAGAAATATATGTAAGAAAATACATGATATTAGACAATGTAATGACTTCGAACAAGTGTGTGAAACTGGCCCATTTTGCATTTAGGATTCGTTTTTATTTTATCTTCCGTTTCTAGTTCCGAAATATTTCACACATATAAAAATATTTCAATAAAATAAAAATCTATTCTTAAATGTTTATAAATTAATTAAATTATTTTTGTCATAGTGCAGTCATTTATCGGAAGCGCTATTAAGGATTTTTGAAAACATCTTAGAAAATGCATCTGCGTTAATATGGAAAGATTCATAATATAGCAAAAAATTGTCAGAAATCTGCCTGTTTTATTTATAGAGTCATCAGGTTATTTTTAAAGCAGGAGTGATGAAAAATGAGCAACGCCCTCACCGGGAATCGAACCACGGATCTCTGGAATACGCGCCCAGTGTGCAGACCACTACACTACGAAGGCATGCGAAGAAGACGGGAGGATACCTTATATACACCCCCTTTTAAAGGGCAACTGGTGTTTTTAGGAGACCCAATTACCAAATCCTGGGTGAAGAGAGTCATCATCCAGCACCATTTTAGTTCGGGCTTCCTGTAGAGTCATTTATTTTTAGAGCAGGAATGATGAAAAATGAGCAAAGCCCTCACCGGGAATGGAACCATGGATCTCTGGAATACGTTCACCCCTACACTACAAAAGCATGCTAAGAAGGCTTGAGAAATAACTTATACATTTTTGTAAAAAACATTTGTTGTTGCTTTTAATTTAACATAAATATATTAAGTTTAAATTTCATATTTTACCCATATTCGTAATAACGCTGCGTTTTTTCGTTTCACTTTATATCTTTAGTTTGCTCTTCTAAAATCAGTTTGCTAAAATGTCTTAAAATAATTATATTTTGAAATCATTATTAGTACAACAGCATTTGTTCTTCATATGCTTACTAAGCATTCGTATGAACTGCCACTAAGTATAGATTAACCTACACTTACTGTGTATAGATTGCATAGACCACTGAGTAAATAATGTAGAATTTTTAATAGTTTTAAAATAATGAAAGTAAATGTAAACAATTTTATTATTGAATACTTAATCTTTCTGCTTCGTAGATAATTTCAGAATCCTTTATCACAGTTTTCGCATTCTTCAAACAATAAAATAACACTTCATTTGGCTGTCAAAAGGAGAGTTGTTGAAGTTGTAAGCACAGAAAATTTTCCTCCCTTCTAAGAAGTATTAATATCTCCAGCCCCCGTTTTCTCAGAAATTCTTGAGAACTGCTCTTTTACTACGCAAAAAAAAAAAAAAAAAAATAAAAAATAAAAAATAAAAAAAAAAAAAATAAACGATGAAATGAATAAAATAACTTTGATTTAAAAATAAAATTTATTTAACCTTCTTTTCCTTTTTATTTTTTCAGGGGAAGAATGTTTTACAAGACCGAAACTTTGTCAACGAATGCAAACAAATTAATTTCAGTTGCAAACTTATTTAAATATTATACATTAAAAATATAATAAACTACAATAGAAGCGCATTTGCTAACTGAAACCATCTAGCCAGAAAACTTTAATCACTGGCACGTAATTTTCGTAGCCGTACGAAACGGGTCTTTTGCTTAGGTTAAAAAAAAAACTATGAATTCCGTATACGTGAATGTATCGAAGAATGCAACTGAGTATTGAGACTGTAAAATAAATAACCATATATGCAGACCTTATAACTTGTCTCATTTTACTAAACAGAGTGATTTTAATAAAGTTAACCAAGATGATTATAGTTTGGAGAATTTTCGCTTCCATCAACACTGAAACACTGAAAAACACGCTCTGGCCTACGTACCACAATATCTCGATACCAAGCCAGATACTTTGCACTTTTACTACATATAAGAAAAGGGATCACTGAGAACGTATAGTGTTAGATTTCATAATTTTTACTAAACAAATGTTTTTAAATTAAGAAATTCCCAAAACATGAATGATTGCATAATTTAAAACATTTTATAATTTGAAGTTTATGGCTAGGACCAACGGTTGCAGAAACAAGGCCGGATAAGGACACTTGTGGACACGGTATATATATATATATGGACTTAGTCATTTATTTACTTCCAAGAAATTGTCAAATAAATATTTGTCTACATCTTCTACATTAATAACTTTCAAGCCTTGCGAAAATAGGCTTGAAGCAGAACTGCATATTGAAAGCTATGTGGAAAAAATGCGTGCATTAGTGATAACTTACGTAGAGTTAACATTTATGCAACCAAACGTAATGACTGTACACTTAACGTTGAATAACCAAGGCGTCCTTACTGATAACCTCTGCTTCAAAGCATGATTGTTAAGCATCTGTATTTTATTTATAAGCCCTGAAACAGAAAAATTCTATTATCAATAAATAATATTTGATTTTCCTGAAATTCGGCTTAAAAGCTTTTAATGTTTCATTTACATGTATTTAACATGAAAGGGAAAGATGGAAGCTTTTAGATAAACGCTCCGTTCAATCACAAACATTAACTTTTCTTCCGTTTCTTTCAGCTGCAAAACTCAATAATGAGCATAAACAATAATTTGACTTCTTCAGAGCAAAACTCGATTAATAAAAAGGCCTTTCACTCGATTTATGTAATTCGGCCACCCTAGTTCTAACATAAGCATAAAAAATAGATAAAGTGCGTTAACAAAGAGCAGAAAATTAAAATGCAGAAAAGGCAGAAAAATGCGATGAAATTTCGAAGCCCAGCTGATGCTTGTAAGCATTGATTATCTGTAGTTTGCCATCACGATTATGGGTTGTCTTTTTACATTTATTCTCTCTAACAAAATGCATTAAGCTAATTAGAAATTCGATTTTACCGAAGCGCAGACGACGAGGAGTGAAGAAATAATGTAATACAATGATTTCCTAATTTTTTTAGGTAGTGAGGACTAAAATTCGAATGATGGTTGGAATGCTTTGCGATGTTTCTTGCTACCTTTACCCAAATTAGTGCGATAGAAATTTTCAGATGTTTATTTTTGCGTATTTGAACTGTTTTACTATTACTTCTACTTTCTGTTATGTTAATAATTACATCTGCTAGCCGTTACTGTCAATGCAAAATTCTTAGTTGAAAATGTGACTTATTTTAAGATACTTTTGTTTTATCACTACATTTATTCAGTAATATGGCTAAGATTGGTCGACTTATGGTATCAGGAATAATAAAAGCTTAGGGCGTCCTTGATAAATGTATGTAATGGCTTTTGTTAATGCAACTAATTAATAAATTTCCTTATTTAGCCGCCCACGCTTTTATTATTTTCTATATAAAATTATACATGAGTTTTTTAAAACGAATTATTTAATCCCTTCTCTCGCTAAACTATAGGATAAATTATTTTTATTTTTTGATTCATTAATTTTTATGACATTAAATTACAGCTTACTTTATAATAATTATTGCTATTTTATGATTTGTGTAATCCTTTTAGTCTCAATGACATGTTATTCATCAAATCATGCAACTGAAACATCATTTTTTAACAACGACAATCGCTCTTTTACTTCCAACAATTCCGTTACGTCACATACTAAAAAAATCTTACAAACTCTCATAAGGTATTTTCTGCCATCTTTCAGCATGCGTTCGTGGTGTAATGGTAGTACACTCGGCGCGTGTTCGAGAGAGCCAAGTTTGAGCCCTGGCGAGGTCACTGCTCATTTTTCACTTCTCCTGCTTCAAAAAAATCCTAATGACTCTACAGTGGCGCCCGAACTAAAAGGTGGAGAACAATAATTCTTCATCAACAGGATTTCGCGATTGAATCTCTTAATTCCCTAGGCGACCTTTAAGAGGGGGGAGTATTTGAGAGGTCCAGGTTCGTGTTCCGGCAAGGGCATTGCTAATTTTTCATGTCTCCTGCTTCAAAATAACTGCATGACTCTACATCGAATTTTGAAAAACAATTGCTTCACCACATTTTATTTTATTCACAAACAGCTTGTGTTCAAAATTTTAATTCTATGGCTCAGGAAATAGTATATAAAGATATGACAAACTTTTTACCATAGCGACAAATGCCATGAGTGAGCTCAATAAAAGCTTATAAACATTATTCCAAGAAGCATTAACTGATAGACTATAAGATATTGGTATTTGCACAGGGGTTTTGCTGTGATATTGGTATACGATAACAGAGTATGATAATCTTAGATGTAAAGAACATTTACTAATGCTTGAAAACGTGAATATCAGGTGCTCACTTGTTAAAATGCTTACATGACAAGATTTACTTCTTTTTATGAATGTAGAGAATAATTTCATTGCCAAAGTTAAGAATTAAATATAACATTGAAATTAATCATCAAAAACGGGGTCACATTTTTCTTGGTTACCTCAGCTTACAGATGTAGTTATCTACTATCGCGAATGTGCAAAATACTTAGCTCCTATTTTTAATAGGTTTTAAATTTTATTTTTATTAGAACACCAGCAGTATTTAACAAATGACATAATATTTAAATTTTGTGGAAGCTGAGCAGATATATCTTCTTTATTTTATTTATTTATGAAAAGCCATTCAGTAGGTTTTTCCCGAAACATTTTCCTGTTATTTAAAATATTTTCTTTAAAATAAAATAATATTATCTCCCGTCTAAATAGGAGAATTTGCAAGAAGGCCTCATGATGCATGCTCCTCACCGCGTTATGACTCTGGTGATATGATGGACTACATAACATTAGTAGGTAAGCCTTAAGCCGATTATAATTCAAATACTTTTTGAAAGTAGTTCAAATACTGTTTTGTCCAGAAATCATACTAGCCTTTCACAGAGTATTAATTTAATACCGGTTTGTAATACAAAATAATTTTCTGTTTTTTTATTTAATAATTATCTTACTTTGAAGTTCTCATAGTTTCTCAGAGTAGAATTTTCTTTACAAATTTGTTGTGTGATAGGTTATTAATTATAAGCATTACTTTAAGTTAATAATTATTAATTTTGGAAGTTCTGTATTGTTTAAAATATTCTAATAACACAATTTGCAACTTCCAGTTAGAAAGTATGTTTAGAGACCAATCAATATAATACATTATTTTCTTAATGCAATGAGGTTTCTTGTTATCTGGTACTGCATTTGTTAAAACAGTTTACAAAAGAAATTCGACTTCACATATTTTCTTAAAGGTAATAAGTACGATGGAATATCCTGTGTTCATTGAGAAATTTTTTATATTTCCCAATTTCTATTTAGAACTATCTGTCTCACAAATCTTCTTATCACTTTTAACGTTGGAAGGAACAGAGACTAAACAAAACTAAAACAATAAATACAAACTGCATATATTATTATTATTTTTATTTTTTTAACATCCCGATGCTGCGGGTTTTCAGAGTACCTTAAAATATACCCGATATGGTACTATCAGTGAACATAACCTGAAAGAAAGTACGTATTAAAAAAAGGGGGTAAAGATAATCACTGTAAAATAGATATTGCTTCTGTGTAGTGTCTTGGCTTAAAACAGCAAATTACCGTTATTTATATTTTCCAAAAAGTTAGCATTAAAATTTCAACAGGTTACATTTGTAATTTAGGATTTATGAAACTTTTATTATAATAGAAACATAATAATGTTTGATTTTAATACAAAATAATTTTTCATGCTTGTTTCTGCTTTCAAGGGAAAACAAATCGTGTTCTACATCCTTTGTCAGAAAAGTTTCAGGACAAAAGACATAAAAAATATAGAAAATTGCATTTACCATGTAATGATCCTAGCTGCTATCAAAGTAATCCGTTTGGCTATCTATACACAACTGCCAACATTTCTGGAGATCTTTGGAAGCAAGCAGAGAATTCTTCAACTGCGATGCTTGCAAGCGCATTTGTCATAGCACTTTGGATTTTGTCTGCAATAATTTTTATGATGCTTTCCTTTCAGTCACCTTTTCACTCACGTAAACTAGAAAAAAATCACAATAATCTTGGACACAAATGTGAAACCATGTCTGCCTCTATTTAATAGTCCCGCCTCTTTCTGTTCATCTGTTACTGAGTGAGGGACGATTCTTGCATTAGGTTTCCGTTTCCCTCAATCTTCGCGTAAAATTTTATGACACACATAACAATTCAAATTCAGCTCTTCTGATATCATACGCACACTTACACGACGGTCTTCTTGCAACAATTGCCTTCCACGCTCCACGTTTGCATCGGTATGTTAGACGGGTATCCACGTTAGACGGGCGAGCAGCTCTGCGATCGTCTTGCACTGAATCTCTGCCTTCACGAAACCTTTTCTTCCATTCGAAAGTACGACTTCTTGAAAGTGCCTTGCCTGCATATGCTTGCTTAATCATGTTCCACGTTTCACCAGAGGGATTTTTCCGAGCTTAACGCATAACTTGATGTTCACTCTTTGCTCACAATCATCGTCCATTGTGTCCCCTTAACGAATGCGACAACAATTCGAACAGTGTGTTGCTAAGAACAACCCTGCGTCGTAGTACATTTACACGGAAACAAGGTCATGTCAAGTAAGAATACATACCAAGTAAAATAAAAACAAAATTTGTTCCTTTTTAGTACTGCAAACTCAGAAATAAAAAAAATGTCCTGGGAGTTTTCTGAAAAATGATATATTTGAGAGAGAGAAATGAATTAAATACTCTCAGAAATCAACATGTATTGCCCCACTTTCGTTTCTCAAAAATCTATTATCAACATTTAGAGTTATACCGTTTATTGACTGCGTACAACGTGAGCAGTAATAAAGATGCTGTCATATCCCAAGTTAAGTTCCATATCCATTCTTTGTCTGCAGTCTGCATAGCATAAATGGCTAACATTACGCATAAATTAAAAACAATGCATATTCTGCTCTTTTCATAAACTAAACTTTAGTTCTAAATTTCTTTCAAAAGACTCAATCTCATTTTTCTAAATCACACTGAACTACAGCAAATTCAAAAATCTTTATTATCAAATAGTCTTGAGAGAAAAGGCACACCTACGAAACGCAATAAATTTCTAAATTATCAATACGTTCTGAAGCTTTCAAGTCCTTTAATACTTCTGTTTGGATTGCCCTTCGACTCTCAGATATAGATGGAATTCCTTACAGAAAATTTTCACTGCATTTCGCATTCGGTGCATTCCATTAAATTAGGTACAATCCTCAACCAGAAATGACTTCTACTAAAATCAGTATGTAATGTGTTTGCTAAAATTTAAGTAGCTTAACCACTATTAAAGCTTTATACCATATTAAAACTCAGAGTACATAAAGTTCGTCTTAGAGATCAAAGCACTGGGCTCTAACCAAAGCTTATCGTGATTTAAGTAAGAGTACTATTGTATTTACCTTTTGCTTCCATTAGATCTAATAAATTCGCTCGCTCAATTTTAGTTAATGCATTATGATTATTTCTTATTGACAGCATTCGCAAAAGCTTAATGTACAACTTGCTAAATTATTCTAGGATTCATGAAATGTTGAATAAGCGTCAAATTTATTCTCTTATGAAAGCTTTAGGAAAATATTCTTCCAAGTTCAATTTAAATTTTCTTTACTGAAAGAGCAAAACATGTGGGTAATTTAAGCTGTCAGACGTGGATTAATTAATTTCTTAGGTCTCGTATACCGTCTAGTCCGGAGATTATTCAACACCCTCTTGAGCGTTTAGAAAAATACTCCACTCATTGATTTTTAAAATACTTTATTTTAAAAATCAGTTTGAATTGCAGCTCCAAAAAGTTCTTTTTTTATTATTTTGATTTGCACTATGGCAGCTCACATTTCGTTATGTATGCTTACTGCAGGATAGAAAAAAATCTGTAAATTACATTTTTAGAAATGAAAATATTAAAATTACTCATTTTTTTAACTCCTCAAATGACACTTCATTAATTTCTTGCGCTTTTAAGAAAACAAATCGTGATTTGGAAATAAACTCCTCCAAAGTATTTAAATCTATAGTTTATAATTACTGACAATTATGGCAGCATAATTATTATTATTATAATAGCTATTATAGCAGTACTATAACTAACTAGAGAAGTAATTAATAATACTTAACGAGAACGGCTAAACCAGTGAGATTTCCTCACCGTAAACCCATTACTGTATGTATGAGTTTACTGTGAGGAAATCATCATTGTATGTTGCTGGTAGGCTAATCAACACAAAATAGTACTACCTACTTAAAAATACTGTACAGTTGTACAAGAGTTTTAGAAAAATAATTTTCGAGATTAGCAAAATAGTAAAATTATTTGTCAAAACATTTTTGACAAATAATTTGACTATTTTAAATGTAGCTTGCTTTGAAACATTCCTTTATTTTAAACAATTCGGTCACACTGGTGAAATAAATATGACACTAGAGTTAATTAATAATTCATCGTTATAATAATTATAATTCACCGCTAATCAATAATTCACCGTTACCATAATTCACGGTTAATCACTTGTGAGTTCAAATACTTTATTTGATATCACTAGTTTAATTGCTGAACAAATATTTATTGAAATTTTATTAACTCTGTAAATGTTATATTTTTCACTTTGGTAGCTTCTTCTGCTTCTGTGATAGCCCTGTGTCCTCAGCTAGTAGAGACTGATGGCCTGAGGATAGCTGCTAGCAAAAATCATATTCGTTCGGACCAGTGTCAAGACTCAGCCATTAAAGTTGTTGGATGTAGAAGTCACGAAACTCTGGAGTTTCTTTCAACTTGTGAAACAGTTCGAGAGCATATGAGTAAGTCATTTTGTACCTGATACTAAAAACGATGCCTAAAATTTCATAATTTCGTTTTGATGGGAAATTTAAAGATTTTACTTGCTTGAAGGTAAGTCACATTAACAGGTTATTTCAGAATACATCAGTTGCACCAGTTGAGCAACTGCAACTTTATGAAGAGCAACTCATACTTGCTCTTCATAAATTTGCACAATTTATTCCAACGGCGTTTGATTTCACGAAAAAAATTAAATTTTTCTTTCTAATTTCAAGAAAGTATTTTTTTAACCATCAAACCTGATACTTTGCCTTATTTTATTTTTTAATTATTCTTTCTCCTATTTTATATTAAGAAAATGGGATACATGAAACTAGTATTCTAAAAATTCATATCCTTTATTATTATAATTAAAATTACTGTGTTAGAGATTTGGATTTTTTAAATGTGATAATCCCATACTTATTCGATTACTATGCAACTTTGACATATTTTATTTCAACCTGATACAGTATCATAAACTGAAATTTTGCAGCTTTTGGTTAAATTGTATTTCTTTTCTGCATTAATTTTTCTTCAACAAAATATCAAGTTTGGTCGGAATTAGTCTGAAACATAAGTTTTGTTACGCCTCTAATTTCAAATCTATCAAAATTTCCGAACTAAAGAGTAAAATAAATATTTACTCTAATATATTTAATAATGAATAAATTTTAAATACAGTTCAACTCAGCATACGTACCTGCCACGTGTATAACCTCTTACTTGCGTTTCGATATCAAAAATATATTTCTTACACGCAACTACGTGTTACTTCTTATTAACAAGATATAGATTGCTAATTGAAAATTACAGTATAGAATATTTTAGCAAAACTGCGCACATAGCTCAAGAATTGCACTCCTTGCTGAAGATTGTTTAATATATGAATTCTTGAAATTGATATTATTTTTCAGTTTTCCAATGCCAGGGAATGTGGGAGGAAAATGGCAAGAACTACCTCATCGCAGGATTAAAAGGATCGAAAGCACGATACTGCTTTGTAAGTATAAAACATAATGGTATCTCAACATTTTCTTATTTAGATTTCAGCCTTTTTTGAAACGATAAGTATTTATCTATATCTATCTATCTGTATATATATGTTACCTTGAAACACCGAAATCTGGTGAATGTCGACTTTCACCGGTGAATGTCAACATTCACATAGTCGCTTGGTGTATGTCCGAAATATTTTCCAAATACTCGTATTTCTGACTTACACCGGTAAATGTCAACATTCATCATGTACTAATGGTGAATGTTGAACATATAAGAATATTATAATTTCTCCTCCGTAATTCAGTCACGAAAAAAAAAAAAAAAAAAAAAAAAAAAAAAAAAAAAAAAAAAACAAAAAAAAAACGCACTTGAGATTTAAAATAAGAACTTAAAAACACACATACATTCAAAATGAGAAAGGAAAAATAATAGAAGTTTAAAAACTTACTAAATTATGTGATTCAAATCTATTTATTGCAACAACTTAAACTATTATGACACTTTGAATTGCACAAGAGGCCCTTGCTTTTAGAACTGCATTTATTTGTGGAACACTTCTTTTTGCAATGACAGCGTGTACATATACTCCTCTCTTTTCCTCTCTTTTCGACCTACAGCAGAGCATATCTGTGATTGTCGACATACACCGGTGAGGGTCCGAATGTACAAGAATGTAATGCAATATTCGATCTTTCACCGAAGTATTTGGTGAATGTTGACATTCTCCGGTGAAAGTCGACATTCTCCATTTTCGGTCTTTCACGGTAACATATGTTTATATATATATAGAAAGAGAGGTACATATATAAAGGGTGGTCATGCAAAATCTTCCCCGACATCTGAGCCCCTAGTGGCGTATTCGTAAGGTTAACCGAAATAAAGTTCCAGACATTAGGTATGCGCTTGACACTGTGATGGTTTAAAACAACAGGGCTGCCAAACTTAAGGTTACCGTGAAAAAGTTCGATATTTTCGAATGGCAGCACCCCGATTTTTACTGTGCCAATTGATCAGCGATTTAAAAGAGGATAAATGATATTGTAATGGTTCACGAAGAACGAACTTTTACTTCTTTTCTTGCGCGGCGTGACTTCTGTTTCTCGTCGCTTTCCATTAGATTGGCAGTAAAGGAGACAATGCTCTCCTTTACTTTTGCCTCACTTTTTGGACCATTCTTGGAGTTTCACCTGCTAGGTCATCAATGTCATGTCCTCTCAGTGGCTTAACTTTCTTATCTAGCTTATTAAGGCTCCTACTGGAGCAACATAAGCAACTTCATAATAAGTACAAGTATCACGCGGAACGCAAATTGCCGACGTAAAACATTTGCAAATAAGAACATTCTAAAGGACCAGTCAGGACACAAAAGAGCAGAGAGAACAAAACTTTTATTTGAATTAAAGTTTTCAATGTGCCACCGGAGGAATCTGTATAATTTCACGTTTTATGGCATATTTCAAATTTGACAAATCTCCTGGATTTGAGGATTTTTATTTTGATGATGATTTGGTGATCACCTTAGATTTCAGAATCAGAAAAAAGTGAAGTAATATTGGGGAATAGCATTGGCCACGAAACTGCAAAGGTGCAGGAAATGACTATCTCCAAAGTGCTGCTAATAACACGGCTGAAGTGTAACTGACTGCTCGCTGGACTGTCAACGAAACAATCGCGTTGATGGATCTTTGGGGATGCGATATCACACAAAAAAAAATTAGACGGAACGGCATGAAATACGGAAATTAGCAAACAAGTACAGACAAGGTAATGTGATGCTGGGTATTCCAGAAATACCGTTCAAATTAAAACTAGGGAAGCGCATATCTGCTTCAACGCAATCAGGGGACTCGGTACCTTTTGAAGGATTTTTTTTTTATTTAAGAACTTTCATCTATTTTTCATGAATATTATTAAATGGTTTTGTAAGACAAATGATTGTAAGCTGAAAACAAAATTTTGCTAGTAATGTTTTTTTAAATTTAAATTTTGTAAGAAAAATTCAAAGTTAAGTGTTAGTTAACAAGTTAAAGTGTCTTTCTTTTCAGTGCTTTTCCCCCCAAATTTTCATATTATATTTATTACAGTGTTCATAGTAACTTTAAGAATCGATTTTGCAATTAATGCATTAGTTACTGATAAAAAATAAAACTTTAAAAGAAATGTGATCTCAATCCCATTTTCACTTCAAATACATTTTCTTTTCAGTATTTTGGAAAACCCGTCCTTTTTTCTATAAAGCATATAATTTTAAATACGCGGTAAAGATAATTTAATCCATATCTGTATAAGTTTTAGGACTTCAAGCAAAAGAATTTGTAGAAAAAAAGTAAACTGAAAAAACGCAGTTTAAAGACTGTAAACAGTCTAATTTGTCATTAAATCATTTCAAATTTCTTAAATTATTACTCAATTTCAATATATATATATATATATTTACTCTTCCTCTCTCTCTCTCTCTCTCTCTCTTCTATATATATATAGATATATATATAAATTAGTGCTATTCACTTGGTTAATATAAACAATAAATTACATGCTTTTATCTAAAATCTTCGTAAAGCACGTTCAAAACAATTTTAATACATGAATTAATTACAATATATTTTCTAAAATGTTTATAATCAGTATTAAAACATTTGTAATTAATATTAATAATATTGACGATCTATGTGTCGTTTTATTTATTTTTTCAAAACAAAGTTTGAAATTTTAACAGCCAGAAAACATTTTTTATTTAGAACCGTTCAGCAGCATGTGCGATTTCTTTTCTTCTTTTAATCATTTGATCTCGTATATAAATTGCATTTTAAATTAATTCAGGTGTATTTTAATTAATTAAAAAGTTAAACTCCGATGGCCTTCTATAGCAATAATAAACAATGTCAAAGAAATATAAGCAAATTTTAGAAATCCGTCAAACCAATTCGCGTTTGTGACAGCATTGCTCGCGTTAGCTTATGGGTTAAGAGATGGAAAACGATATGCATCTGAATCGGTCCTGAAGTGCGAAAGTGCTTCATATTCCCGTTTCTCCTTAATACAAATGGTGGCTGTGCGAAAGAGCGTTGCATGTGAACGGGGCTTTGTAGGAAGGGATATAAATCATCATTTAACCAGAAACGAAGTAACATAATAAAATAGCAAAGAGATGAAAATTCTTTGGTCGTTTTCAAGTAGCAGCTGAAAATTTTTCGTAGCCACCTAAATTATATCTGGATGATTCCCAGATGGAGGATGTCCTCCTTCTGCGAGATTACTTGTCATACACGTTCTAACTGGCGAGATAGATCGGCGATATTCAGGTTGGTTTGGAAATGCCTACTCATCAGAGACCGAACGTGCTGTGATGAGGAGAATCTGAACGTGCTGTGATGAGGAGAATCTGAACGTGCTGTGATGAGGAGAATCTGAACGTGCTCTGTTGCACCACGGTTCGCAGGGCGTTCCTTTTCTTTTCAGAGATGGTAATAGATTTATACACCAGCTCTGCTTCTCTAACTGTACACTTCTCTGGACATGGATTTTCCCAGCGTGTTTACATCGTTTCCGGCGCAGTAATACAGATCTCTGTTTATGCATTAGGGAAAGAACAGCGAACCACTACGTATTTAATGGCGCACATACTTCAAGATACCACCTTAAAATGCCAGCTTCCACAAAGTGGTCAGCATGGGCCTCTAACAGTAGCAGTAACAGATCTGCACAAAATAAAATTGTCTTAGTAATTACCTCTTATGCTCCTGCCTACTGAGCCATGTCAAGCCATATCCACATCGTAAGTGCCCTACATCAGTAGGAGTACAGCCGCACACTCCCCCTCTATACTCAAAGCTGTAACCCCTATTCAACTTTATACACAGTTTTGTTTTGATGTGCACGTTTTCAATTTGTTTGCTTATGAGCTGCGCATATATTTAGATGTTCTCTTACATTAGATTATGCACTAGCTGCAATTTAACTTTTTTCCTACAAAACCATTACAGTTTTGTCATTCCCTAAGTGCTCAAAGGGATGTTTTTGCTCAAATCTTCTGTAAGTCAAAGTGCCCTGCCATCATTAACACGTTTCCAAGCTATATTCGGAGAATTCAACAGAAATAATTTCACTGCCATAGCCGTAGCTCCTTCTGAGGAGTTGCCATCTAAACTCCGGATAGCTAACGCTCCGCTCGGAGGCCAACTCCACCGGTATCCAGTAAACTCATGCTACAGCCATTTAGCGTCCTTTTTGCAAAGTGCAATTATTCTTTTGTGTCATACTTCACTGCATTCAGAGTCAGGATTAGCTGATTTACGACTACTTATAGACAGTAGTGGCGAACCTTTTGGGGACAACCGTTTTTTTTCGGGGGGGGGGCGCGTGCCCAAAACCTCTTTGATTCATGTTTTGCCAAGCACAGAGAAATTTGAAAGCTGCCCGTTGTTAGATGGTTTGTTTTAGAAAGATATTTGCAAAATCCAACTTTCTGGTAATTATAACTCCTCAAAAACTTCCTCGAGGGACACAGGCATTGGCGGTACATAAACTCGGCCATGCAGTCTAACAATATCAGGGCCCACCAGTGGCCGAGCGGTAAAGTCGCTGAACACGGGTAGTTTGGTCCGAGGTTCTAATCCCGCGAACGGGCTGGCTGCATGGGTGTTTTCGTGGTTTTCCCCATGTGTAACGTGTATACGAGCCAGTTTACCTTAGAAAGTCCTCCACGAAGGCATCCCTCCCCTCAGACAGATAGCCCTAGTGTGCTTTGCCATAATTAAATACACCTCACCACACCTAACAATGTCAGTTTCCTTCTGGTCATTATCTTCATCTGTTTCTCCATCAAAAAACCTTTGAAGGACTTCTTCTAATGTAAGGTACCTCGTACTAGGCATTTTTAAAGCATGGAATCAATATCAACCAGAGTATTTAAAGGTATGAGTAAAAAAAGGGGAATACTCTTTTCCCGCTGCCGTTGCACCAGCGCAACACCTGTTTTCCCTTCCATCCCCACACAGATAC